AGTCAAGTCGAGCAGCCACCTCTACTTTTTTTTGGTATACCGAAAAAAGTAAATTGGGTGGTTGTTACATTAAAAAAGTCTAACTTGTAATTTGAACACAATAATTTCATGTTTCTATGAACGTAATTAAATCATGAAGGATCTGTACGAAATTCAACAACTTAATTTGTTCTTGTTGCGATGACATGATACAATCTAGTAAGAGTGGTTAGTTGCTGAACTCATGAAATTCATAAGATTGCACGCGATGTCAAACTACAGGAAAATCACTGGAGTTATAAGAGGCAGACAACCATACACACACAAAACCAAAAAATTCTGCATCAAGCCTCGAAATCATAACTTTCCTACTTTTGTTAAGCCTGGATTGGTGGCATCGTGGTTAATGCTGTTGCTTCACAGTAAGGTGGTCCTGGATTCAAATCCGCAATATGGCTAGTTTGCAGTGGTTTCTCTCTGGGTCTACTGGTTTCCTCCCACAGTTAAAAGTCATGCAGTTATTATAGTCAGGTTAATTGGTGATTCTAAATTACCTGTAAATGCAAATGGTTGTTTGTCATGTGATAGACTGGTGAGCTGTCCAGGGTGTACCCTGCCTCATAACCTATCACTTCAGGGTTATTTCCCAGCCAGGATAAAGATAGGAGGATGTTAGTTGTTGTAGATCTATTGAATTTTTATGGTAACCAGACTCTAGACTTGTTGAACATTATGTAATATGAAGACAACATGTAGTATTTAAGTGACCAAGTAGTATGGGGCTAAAAGTTATTGAATAGTGTTGAAATAAAATGACAAAATTGTGAAGGATTAAAATATTCCAAGAGCTCAACTTACTTCATCTATGTTTCAATTGCGTTTTTGAACACAAAATGCACAGGTTTATTGAATATGAAAAAATTGTGTTGATTTAACTAAGTTGTTTACATTTCTGCCAAAGCAAAACATTTGTGTGCAACCAATGTCCACTACTGAATTAAGTAAATCCAACATGGCCTTTATTTCAGTGTGTCTGACTCATTCTGAAGGTAAATAACTTTAACCGTGCTCTTGTCTTTGATTTCTGAAGTTGCTGACAAGTTCACAAACTCATTGTCACACTCACTGTCTCTATCCTTCAGTCTGAAATTGCCAGACAATGCAAAGTTCCTTCTAATCTCTTCAGCTGAATCAGGTATTGATGCATTGACAACTCTCAGGACTGCAGCCATCTTGTGTTCACTCTGATAAAAAAGGACACATTTCTTAAGGAAACTGTTTTAATTTTCACCAGTGTTGTATTGAGTTTAAATTTGAAATGAGAAAACCACTGCATTTCTATATTATCTAAATTTGTTTTATTTCATGTATCTTTCCTCTCTTCCCTCTTTTTTCCCCTTCACTTTCATTTCTGGCATTTCCCCCTCTGCTTTAAAAACAGGTTTGTATGACAGCCAATAATAACAATATCATAATAATGACAAAAATATGTTGGTTTAGGCAAGTTACCTAAAATCCAATAAATCAGACAATATTTATGTTTCTTGCGTGAAACAATAGATTGGAAACCTGGAAGTCATTAATATGCAAACACAAGGAAATCTTTAAATCCTCACATGAAAAAAAGGATTGTTTGACCATCAAAACTTGTATTTGGTGTAAATTTGCAGAACAGGCTATATGACTACTAGCAAGCTTGTCGACTATATCATTATAGTCTGTCTGTCAGTGCGCCCCAGGGTGGCTGTGGCTACAATGTAGCTTGCCATCACCAGTGTGTGAATGTGAGTGTGAATGGGTGGATGACAGGTTGTGTAAAGCGCTTAGGGACTAGAAAAGCGCTAGCACAGGCCATTTACCTTTTTTTTAATTTTTTTTTATTTACCATTATGCCCAAGTAGCTGAAGAGACTAAAGTATGGGAACATATTGAAATGTTTTGTTGAACCTTGCCTCTAGAACATACTCAACAGGTTCCACAACATTAAACTTTTCCTCACAGAATTGCTTAAGTTTGAAATATGATGCTAGTGGACGTCCCTTAGATTTAGCTTGGACCAAAGGACTGTTGCTAGAAATGGCAAGGCTGAGTTCCTTAATTACAACCTGAAGATTATACTTAAAAAAATCTCAACCGTTGTATTATGGGATATCAGTGCTGTAGCAGAGGCAAAAATGAAACCTTCAAGTACCGTAACTTTTGAGAAATTGGACAAGCCAATTTTTTAATCAATTTTTCATTTGGTACAACTTCACATAAATTATGTAACTTCTATGTCAGAGGCAATTTCTCCAAGAGAAGTTGACTGTTCTTCGCATAACTGAGGTGCTCAATTTTCATCACCATCACAAGAGTTTGCAGTTCGTCTTGTAATCGGAAGGTTGCTGGTTCGAGCCCCGGCTCGGACAGTCTCGGTCGTTGTGTCCTTGGGCAAGACACTTCACCCGTTGCCTACTGAATCGATTCTAGAACATAAATATCTGGTATTGGAAGAATCAAAATTTCAGTATCAATCCACACACCACTATTTTTCAATGTGTTTCCAGTCTGTAAACTGCAGGTCCTGAGCTAGTGATGAGCAAATGAAGCTTTCTGAAGCACTGAAGCTTGTATTGAAAAACGATTTCAACACAGTTCCCCTTGGTGACATCTGGTGGCCAAAACTATGAAGAGCAGCTTGAACCTACAACTTGTAATGAACTGCTTCATTATGCCCAATTAACAGAGCTGAATTGACAGCCTCTGTTTGATATCATGTGACAGTTCTGTCTGATATCGGGCTGATATGGTGTTTTGAAGGTGTATTTTTTGTTGAAAAAATGATGTTATACCCATTTTAATAATATTGATGAATACATTTTCCTTGTTTAAACATGTGCCATGGTGTGTTCTCCTTTTGCTTGTGACTTCTTGATGGTTTTTTACTAATTAAAAAACAAACAAACCACACAATAAATAACAATGTACAACACATTATAATAGCTTGGGAGTATGCTTGTACTGTGAGGCCACGTGATTATGCAATTACCAGCGGACAGATTCGTTTATATAAAATATACCAAGGGCGTAGAATTTGGTTTTGGCATTGGTGGGGACGGATGATTCAACCACCAAACCCTGCCCTGTTTCTTTTTTTCCCCTTTTTGTCTTTGCTTCTTGATAAAAAGGAGAAATATACTTGCCTATATGCTATTCTACATGCTTTTAAACCATTTAAAATTACAATTCATAGTTTTACATTTGAAATTATATAATGTTAAATTACTATTAAACAAATGACTGACTAAGTATTTTAGGCTTTAGTTTACTTCAGCCATATTTCATATAAATCAGGCATCATACAAACAAAAATAGCTTCAAATACAGTCATGACAATAAAAGAATATGACTTTAAGGACTTAACAACATTACTTCAGTTATAGTACACCAACATCTCTGATACATTAGCACTAAGGGAACACTGAATGACCTGCTGGTTTTTGTCCATAAAGCTACTCATCTAAGATTATCACAAAGTAAAAGATCTCTCAGCAAAATTATGCAACATTTTAGGCACTGTTGCTCCTATCAAATCAGTGAGCTGGGATTTTTTATTCTAAACATGAACTACTGTTACAGCAACAGACATGGACTACTAGTGTCCCACACAACAACTCAATGTCCACTATGTGAAGGGGCCACACACATGCCTTCTCCTCTCGTTAACTGAGATAAACTGCTGGCATATCTATATATACACATCTATACTGTCCAGTCTCTCCTGGTGGACATACAGCAGCATTGTTTAATCTCATTTGAGTCACTGTTGACCTTACCCATCTTTTTAGTCTTCTGAGAGCACTGAAGCTTCTTTTAGCCTCAGTACATGTGTTTTATCCTCAGATTAAAATTATTATTATTATTATTATTATTATTATTATTATGTGCTTGATGTGCCTCAGCTTTGGCCCTGGCTCTTCCCCTCTGACTGCACTAGGACATATTGCCACCTGATAAAATAACACACTGATTCATGCCATATAAAAAGTGAGACGTGTCAATTCAGATTCTTTGTCAAATAAACACTAATGAATCAATTTACATCAGCAGCCTAACAATTGTCATGATAATAAATACTAGTTAATCTACAGCACCAAATCATCAGTCAGTCACCTGTGAGCTCGCCTCTTCACCTCTGTCTGAGCTACAACATGGCAGAGCTGCCTGTCACCTGATGAATAACAGTGAGACATTCCAAATACATGCAGTCACACATGTGCTTCAAATACAGTAATTGAACCATCAAGTCATCATCCAATTTCACCTGTGATCTTGTGTCACCATTGTTGGTTGGAATATTTGCAAAATCATGACTACCAGCTGAATCAAATGGTTTGATTACCTCTTCAGCATGCCATCGTGTTTGGCAAAGGCCTGATAACAAGCCATTCATTTGATTCAGCTGTGTTGGAGTAGGGATGCATCTAAAAGCTGCAGGATAGTAGCTCTCGAGGACTGGGATTGGGCAGCCCTGCTTTACACACTCCTTTTGTTGTTGACATTTACAGGCTGTGTGCAAAAGGCCACACTCTTCAAATTCATGCCAACTAATATTTTTACGTCCAGTAGGTGTCCTACTAGAGCAAATGAAGCTTCAAGACGCTTTGCGCTGGGGTGAACCAATTGGATGAAAAGCTTCAGTGCTTCATGAAGCTTCATCTGCCCATCACTACTTACAGGTTTCTTTGAAAAATACTTTCTTATATCCAGGTTCTTCCTTTTTGCTGCCGTCCTCCTCGCAGCGCAGGCTTGCCGCTGCTAAAACTAAACAGAGCTCCCTGAAAGGCACAGCCAATCACATTGGCCATATTTGTCACATGACGTAGGACTCCAGTAGAGGACGTAATTTAACTCTTTCTGCACCGCTGGGTGAATGAGACGTTGACAGATGTTTTTTTTTCTTTCTATCGGGTTTGTTTTTCTTTACTCGAAGAGATCAAATTATTGGTGGGAACAATTCAATAATCGCTGGATATTGGTGGGGACATGTCCCTTACGTCCATGCCAAATCTACGCCCTTGAAATATACTATACCTTCTATAACTATAACTATGATTATTTCTTATCTAGACTTTAGACCTGGGAGCAGAAATGCTTATGAACTGTTTTTTATTTAGGAATAGGCAGAGCATCCTCTTTTTGTCTGGCTCCATGTCTCTGATTACGATGGACGGCATTGATCACGTGACTGTTGAGAAGACCTGAACCTCGACAGTTTCTGAAGCAGTGTTGATTGTTTTGACACATGTGCCGGAGCTTTGCCGTCATTATCCCGAGCAAACTGCCCCTGCCTTTTTCTTTCTTTCTCGCTCACAAACACACGGACGTGCCACAGTGCAGCCGTGCACGTTCCTCATTGGTCCCAGGAAGCGAAAAACAGGTGACGCAACACGGAAGTATCGGCAGCAGAGTCTTCGGGTTGTGGTGTGTTTATCGAGGCTGTGTGTGTGAAGGCTCTTGGAGAAACGACGACGCGACATGAAGGTGTTTTTTTCCGGTGTACTGCTGCTCCTGTGTGCGCGGCACACCGACAGCTGGGATGACGGTGGGTTGGCGTTTAGTGTCCGCTTCTTTTACGCTGCTCTTCAGTTCCGGTGAACTGAGCGATCGCCTGCCAAAACTGATTTCCGGTATTTGCCAAAAACGGATTGTTCCTATTTCAACTGATATAAATAACTTGTTGATCTGTAACATGTCAAATGTATCCCCCATAAATGATATCAAGTCACAAACAACGCTCCTGTCACAAGTTAGAAGCCGCAATCAGTCTTTGGCCGTGACTTTTATTTATTTATCCAGTTAAAAAAAAAATCTCGTTGACATTAAAAATGTCTTTTTTAAAGAGTAATCTGACAAAGAGGACAGCAGAAATTGCAATAAATATAACAAAAAAAACCCCCTAATATAAACATATTTTAAGTGGACAAAAAGGACCGGATTGGTTATAATGTACTAGGACGTTATAAAGATACTTGAAAAACAGGTAATTTTTCGATATTATATATAACCCCTTCGTAAACCCTGTTCACCAAAGTCTATTTACCAACATATGTAAAGATATTACACGTAAAAACAGAGGGAAACACTGAAAATCAATTTTTGGCAGACAATCACTTTTTGGCGCAACACTGGTTACCGAGATGCTCCCCTGTTTAGGAAATACACCACAAACTAGTGACAAACACGCTGTGCATGCATGTTTGTCAGCAATGGTAGGTTATATGATGAGTATGGCACTACATGATGTCATAAAGAACAGCGTACAGAAAATGCTGGTTGATTCATGACTAACGAGTCAAAGTTTGTTCCCGAAGAAGAGCTTTAGTGTGTCTAAAGCGACATGACTGTGATTTGTGTAATCCTAGTGTGGAAATCAGCCCTTGCCTTTTGTCACCTGCAGGCAGTGTACTGCTGCGGGACATCCAGGCACTGACTCTGTACAGGAACCGGTACACCACAGCCAGGCGCTCTAGCCCGATCCCTCAGCTCAAGTGTGTTGGAGGGTCAGCGGGCTGCCACGCCTTCGTCCCAGAGGTGGTTCAGTGTGTGAATAAAGGCTGGAATGGAGTCGATGTGCAGGTGAGGGACCTACTGGTGCTGTACTGTGTGAAATGAGCTCAGTAGGACTGATTCAGCTGCTTTATTTCAATTTTTGAAGAAATGACTCCTGTGTGTGCTGTGCATATTAAAATGTTCATCTCAGACAGTGGTAGGCCAACCCAAACTACAAGGACATTATTTCTACAGGCGACAACGAGGAGAGGTGGTTTGAGCCTTAATCTTTATTGTCGTTTCCATGTTTTTTTGGCACCACTGGCTGTAGGATGGTCTGCATGTTCAAGTTCAGTAATATGTATGTGTTGACGGGCACATTCTGTCACATTCAGGCAGTTTAATCTTGTCAGCACAACTGCTCATGAAAAAAACAAAATCTGACAAATTAAAGTGGGACTTTTTCTAATCTGAAATTTTGCACTTCAAAACTTGAGCAAGATTTGAGAAACTTGTGTGGGGAATCTCATCCTTGACAGATATGGGACACCTGCAAAATAGAAGACCTCACATTTTCCTTTTATTTTGTCTCTTTAAACTAAGTTCAAATGCAAGAATGTCTAAGTGGTGAGAGTGAAGTTTAAATGAGGTATTGTACCGTGTGTATGAGTAACCCTCAAACTTGTTATGCTTAAATACATTTTAGACTGATGGGGTGTCTCTTGTTCTGCTGTGTGTCACAGTGGGAGTGTAGGACTGACATGGACAACACACATCGATTTGGTCACATTGAGGTGAGCTGTGAGGGCTACAGTCACCCTGCTGATGCCTACATACTGAAAGGGTCTTGTGGGCTGGAGTACACACTGGAACTGACTGAAGAGGGCCAGAGGAGGTCTCACAGTAGTAGGGGTTCCCGCGGTGGGTTTAAAGGTAGGAGGATTAATGACGCAGGTTTTCATTTTTACACAAGGATTAGTTGTTTAAGAATGTTCTTTGTTGTTTTGTCTGTCAGATCTCTGGGGATTTGCCTCCAGTTTCTTTACTGGTTCATCAGAATATGGGCAGCAGCATGACCGTCAGAGCTCTTACACTGCAGGCACTCAGGACTCAGGAGGACTGCTGGTTGTTGCTGTGCTTCTGCTCTTAGCCTATGGCATCCATAAACTGTTCCTAAGTGGGAACACCACTGGGGGGCAAGATGGTGGACCAGCTACACATTCTGGACACAATTACCATGGCTCCATGGGTGGACCACCCCCACCAGGATTCAAACCAGACTACACAGGTAGTTGATGCAAAATGACGACGTGCGGAGATGTAGACGGTGTGGTCTGCACATTTGTCAAAGCAGCACATCCTTTTGGTAGAGCGGACCTTGTATTCTGTATTATTTTAGGGTCTTTACTGTACAACATAAAGCACCTTGAGATGACTGCTGTTGCGATTTGGTGCTAAAGAAATGAGACGAGTCTTATTTTATGTAATTTAGGCTGCATTGCATGGAAAAAAAAAGTTTTGATCAGTTCTTGTTTTCTGCTCAGACTACCCTGGAGCCAACCCCAGTTATGGTTTCCACAGTGATTACACTCACAGACACCAGTACCCAGGAGGCCAGGCAGCTCCCGGCACAGGAGGTGGTTTCTGGACTGGAATGGGAACAGGCGGGTTGCTTGGATATCTTTTTGGTGGTCGGAGGTTAGTAAAGGGGTGGAAGGAGAGAGAATAATGGAAAACGGAGACTATGGACTTATGTTTCACCTTCCTGTCTTCAGGATATTCATGCTGTGTTCCATCTCATGTATTCTGCAGGAGCCAGCCCTACAATTCTAACTACTCCACTCACACTAACAGACCTGCCAGAGAACCTCCCTCTTCCGGGACACGCATTACTTCAGGTACCAAGACTGTATCTTATTAGAAGGGACACAGAAACAGTTTGCACATGTTACCTACCTACCTTTGTGATTCTTATAGCCCTTTTCCATAAGTACCTATCCGGGTCAGCTCGACACGGTTTGTCCAAGAAATCAATTTGTCCTATCTTTCTGATATAGTGTGTTAATCCTATCCATCAGAACTTTTCTGTGGTCATACGCCATAATGTTTTGGAGAAAGACACTTTTTTTTGGTCTCTGTACACCACCACAGTGGATTGTAAATTTAAAAAAAAAATCAATTCATGATTGAAATGCAGACTTTCAGCTTTAATTGCAAGGGTTTTCCCAAGATTTGCATTACAGACAGTTTTATAGACAGTCCAAATTAATGGAAGAATTGATGAGTACTTTCAGGGCCAGGTGAGACCTGGTCCCTTCTTATTTCATGACAAATGAAGCAGACATGACCATTCTGACGTTGATTTAGAGCGTTGAATTTCTATTTTTAAAATTACTGCTCATGTAATTTTAATGCATTTGAAATATGAGACCCACAGAGAAACTTGGGTAAGATGTGGCGTAAAAATATTGATAGTTGGTAGTAAGGAGCCCAAAGTGTGCCAAGAAAATACCCCCCGCCATTATACCACCACTGCCAGAAGCCTCAATGCAAGCAAGGGTGGATTTATGCTTTCATGCCAAATTCTGACTCTACCTTCTGAACGTTTCAGCAGAAATCAAGACGCAGGTTTTTCCAGTCTTCATGTGAGCTGTAGTGTAAAACTTGGAGTGGTCTTCTGCTGGTTTGAACTTCAGCCTGTAACTGTCTGATTAGATACCTGGTTTAACGAGCAGTTTGAACATGTGAACCTAATAAAGCGTCTGAGTGTGAATACCAGTCTTAGCTGATCAGAGCAGGATATTAAATGGTTTTTAAAGCTGTGCCTCCATCCACACGGTCACATTGATCTGCTGATTCACTTGCTTAGTTACGTGAATTACATTTTTTTTTCTTGGTTTAAAAACTAACTGAGAGAACCATTAGTGCAATTACTGTCATGCTCATGTCAAGCTGCGTACCACAGCTGATGCTAGCTAGTTTGATAAATGATGTTAGACCAGTTGATACATTTTGCTGCATGACTGTGTGTCTGAGCCATTAAGCTGCTGGTTTAGCTGCTCTTAAGTGAATGAAAAACACATCAGTTACATCCATACAAACAATCCCAAACAACTTTATATTACATGTTATAATGATATAAGCATTAATATCTCCAAGCACAGAAGTAGGATCACCGCACCCACAATAAAAGAACAATTCCTCCCTTTTTTCAATGAGCATGCCAGTAAGTGTTCAGTGCAAATGGCTACAACTGACTGACTCCTGTTTGTTTTTTGTTCTTTAGGTTTTGGAGGAACCAAAAGAAGATAGAAGCCCCCACACCCCCACACCCCCACACACACACACACTTTCTGCAGTGGACAGAATATGACTAAGTGCATTGATCTGTTTGCTGCTTGCAGGCTGTAATCCTTTCTTCAAGCAGAGACGTCCAAACGTTACTGCTCGGTTGTGTGTTTCTTGGAGAGCTTGCTGTGGTTCAGTAGTTTCTGTCAGCGTGTGGTTTGGATTTTAGCCTAAAAGTTTTACTGTCCAGCATAAGAAGCTTGTAGGGCTTTATTAAAACGATAATAATGTTTCATTGATAATTACTGGATTTGGGGGTTTTTTGTAGGCAAGTTAAATATTTGAACTCTTTAACTGCAACCTTCTGCTCAAATGTTTGTATATGTTACGGTGTTCCTCTGCTGATGCACCTTTTCCCTTCCAGTAAATGAAATATTAGAATTGACAAAATGGTTAATAAAATGGTGTGTACTGCTGCTCTCTGGCTTTGTGCATCAGCTTAGAAAAAACCTTAGTCTTTAGACTCATGGAGAAAATCCACCTTTCAATCATCTGTGCAAACTCATCACTGGATGAGTTTGCACTAGGGCTGTGCGATATGACCAAAATCTCATATCCCGATATAAAACATTACTCATCCTGATAAAGATATATATCACAAAATAGTGGTTTTTGTGTAAATTCTGTGAATCTCAGGCAACTCGACTTGTTTTCAGCTAGGCGCCGTGTACCTGGCATCGAGTGTTTTGACAGATGCATGAAACTATATATTTTTAGATATACGTTGTAACGGCCATCATTTTCTTTGTATTTATTACATGGTGTGTTGCGGGGAAAAACCTGGCGGCTCTTTTTTGCTTCTCATCCATAAACTCTCTCCATACTCTTTCACGTGATTCTTGCATAGGTGGTAGAAGAGATTTGTTGTGTTGGGGACTGGTTTGCGGCATAATTTGCACAGTACAGTTTTCTGGTCAGACTGTGTCAGACTTTTGCATAACCAAACCATTTCCGTGCTACAGAGACATGGTTTGCATAACCAAACCATGTCCCCTTGTAGGAATAAGGTCCTCGATCGGTTTTGACTGGTCCTTCTGTTTGGAGCTGCCTGGTTCTGCCTCATCTTTACTGGCCATGCTGGTATTCTCTGTGAGTGTAAGCGCCATTTATAGTTACTTCATGTTTTTATTTGAGGTAATTTGTTTGATGCACATTCTGAAATTTGATGTTTGAGGATAATGTATATCATTTCAGTTTATTTTGAAAACTCATCAGGATCTTGAGCTTTATTGTGAAAGGTTTATGTGGAAAATAAACGAGCGGACGGCGGAGCCACACAATGGTTTTACCGTCGCTGTTGCTAACGAACCAACGGCTAAGAAGTTGCTTGTCCATCTGTAGTGTGGTTATTTTAAATATAAGAGAAAGAGAACTTAACATATAATATTAAATGATCAATGTTTTCATATCGATATATTCATTTTGATACATATCGTCATATCAAACAGCCTTAGTCACTTGATAAGGAATCCCTTGTCATCCCCCCAGCCGCTGTTTGTGAGGCCCTGGTTGTGCCTTTATAAAGCTTTACAGGAAAAGCTGTCGATATTTAAGAAATGTTTCTGATCACACTCAACAACACATAAAGGTAGAAAACTGATTTCTACAATCCTCATTTTAATTGCATATTTAAAATATCAAAACAAAGTGTGCACACTTCCTGCTTTCCAGAACGTATGAGACGTACAGGCAGAGATGGGCCCACACTAAATACAAATAAATACAGTGCAGGGCACTGGTGTGCGCCCTGGTGCCTGTATTATGTGAAAAAAGGTTAACATTGACTAGTAATGGATCACTTTGATTCAGAGTAGTGAATAAGTATTTAGACTCTTTACATAAATTATAATCCTACAAAAGTCTTACATTAATTTCATATGAAAATATATTCAAAATAGCAAGTAAAGTAAAACATTCTTTAACATTATGTTCCTTTTCACGATATATTAATTATTCAATGATAAATGCTGATTGGCTAATGTACTTTAATGTTGCATATGACACAATACGGTCATATTAATATGACAGCACTGGTCACAATGATGCAAACGAGCTCCAACATTTAATGTTACACTGATGATCTGACACAACAAATGTTAGATGAAAAGCATCAGACACAAAGTCTTTTACAATTGTGTCAGCCTCTCACATATGTTCTCAGGCTGATCTGCTTTCTTGCAACTTGTGAAATTTGTAAGAAAGCAAAGTTGGTTGCATTTAATAGACTTACATTTGTTTATATTAGCTAGCTACTGACGGGACTAAAACTAAAAATTAGTCACTTTCGTACTGCCCCTCACTGCAACAATGAGTTTTATGTTAAGAAACTAAGGATATACTGTTTACTTTCACTGTCTGTCTCTTTGGCAGTTGGTGGTTCATTACATTACATTAAATACATAACATTACATCTACGGGTGCAGCTAGTCAAACAATGACACTTGCTGTTTAAGAGATCATGTGACTGATGGGGTTTTGCTGACTAAGTGCCTTTTTTTAATTTTGTGATTTAGGGCTATATAAATAATGAATAGTAGAACAAGACAGAGAAATACTTCTACATCACAGCAGTCTTTTGCCCTCACTATGTCCAAAAGATTCAAGTGTCAGAGGGCTTATGTTAGCAGCTGTGCAGAGATTCTGCACAACTGTTAACATAATATGGATCGCACGAGAGCCCACACAATTTGCAAATCATGTTCAAGATATCAAATTATACTTTTTGCTGCTGATTCCTAAATCAAATAAGAAAATTACACTGGATCTTGCGGGAATATTTATTTTTAGAGATTAATAGAAAGATGTGGACGTAATGCATCTGAACGGTTGCTTTGGGGATCCTCATCCTTATGTACAGGTCAAGAGAGGAGTTGACTGTATGTATGTGACAGGGAGAGAAATTTTTAGAGCTGCAATGTCTCTAAAGAGATTTTATTTATTCTCAAGGATCATTAGATTTGATGACTGGGAATCAAGATCGGTTATAAGGCAGGGATAATCTGCACTGTGGGACAACTTCATGACACTAGGCCCACGAATGGTTTAAAGGCAAGGCAAGGCAATTTTATTTGTATAGCACACTTTCAGCACAAGGCAATTCAAGGTGCTTTACATCAGCGGTCCCCAACCCCCGGGCCTCGGACCGGTACCGGTCCGTGAGTCGTTTGGTACCGGGCCGCGAGAGTTGAGGCTCAGATGTGAAATGTATGGTTTTCAGGGTTTTTATCGGTTTTCAGCATTATTTTGTTATCGTTTTTATCGTTAACTCTGTTTTCCTGAAAATAATGTCGGGCATAAACCGGTCCGTGGCGCAAAAAAGGTTGGGGACCGCTGCTTTACATGATTAAAAATAAAACACTATAAAAGTAAAATACAAGAAAGCATTTACAATAAAACAATAATCAAGACAATAATTTATATGAAAAATTAAAACAAACAAGTAGAGAGTCATAATAGGATCAGTTACTCATAAGCAAGTCTAAATAAGTACGTTTTAATTTTAGACTTAAAAGAGTTCAGTGTCTCAGCAGCTTTGCAGTCTCCCGATAATGTGTTCCAGATGTGAGGAGCATAGAAACTAAAAGCTGCTTCTCCATGTTTAGTTCTGGTTCTAGGGATGGTCAATAAACGAGAGCTGGAGGACCTAACTGATCTGGATGGTTTGTACCATGATAGCAGATCCCTAATGTACAACCCATTCAAGGATTTATAAACTAATGAAAGCACTTTAAAGTCTATTCTCTGAGCTACAGGGAGCCAGTGTAATGACTTTAGAACTGGAGTAATGTGCTCTATTTTCTTGGTTCTAGTGAGAACACGAGCAGCAGCGTTCTGAATCAGCTGCAGTTGTCTAATTGATTTTTTGGGTAAACCTGTGAAGATACTGTTACAGTAATCAAGGCGGCTAGAGATAAATGCATTGATGAGTTTTTCTAGGTCTCCTTGTGTCATCAGTCCTTTAATCCTAGAAATGTTCCTCAGGTGATAGAAGGCTGACTTTGTTATAACTTTTATGTAGCCCTGGAGGTTCAGGTCTGAGTCCATCATTACACCGAAATTTCTGGCCTGGTCGGTAGTTTCTAGTTGGACCAGTTTGAGCTGATTACTGATATTTAATCGATCTTTTTTGGGTCCAAAGATAAGTACTTCAGTTTTGTTATTGTTCAGTTGAAGGAAATTATGAGACATCCAGTTATTAATTTGCTCAATGCATTTATTAAGAGTTTGGATAGGTTCAACATCACCTGGTGACATTGAGATATAAAGTTGAGTATCGTCTGCATAATTGTGGTAGTTAATATTATTGGTGGTTATAATCTGGCTTAACGGGAGTATGTAAATGCTAAATAAGAGGGGCCCTAGGATGGAACCCTGGGGGACCCCGCATGTGATTTCTATATTTTGTGATGAAAATTGGCTAATTGACACATAGAAGTTCCTGTTCTTAAGGTAGGACTTGAACCAGTCGAGTGCTGTACCAGAGAGTCCGGCCCAGCTCTCTAGATGTTCCAGTAATATATCATGATCAACGGTGTCAAACGCCGCACTAAGGTCCAGTAGTACCAATACTGTGGATTTCCCACGGTCATTATTTATACGGATGTCATTAAACACTTTGAGGCTGTCTCGGTGCTGTGGTGCCTACGAAAACCAGACTGATAAATATCAAAGCGGTTGTTCATTGCGAGAAAGCTGTTTAACTGCTGGAAAACAGCTTTTTCAATAATTTTACCGATAAATGGAAGATTAGAGATTGGTCTGTAGTTTTGCATTAATGTGCTGTCTAGGTTCTTTTTCTTTAATATTGGTTTGATAACTGCTGATTTTAAGGCTTTGGGAAAGACACCTTATAGGAGGGATGCGTTAACTATTTGGATCAGATCCTCCCTGATGGCTGGGAGGACCTTTTTAAGAAAACCTGTCGGTAATATATCCAAGCAGCAGGTGGCAGAGCTTAGATTCTCAATAATTTTATCGAGGCTTGATTGATTTATTGTTTGAAAGTGAGTCATTTTCTCTGCATAAGTGCTAATTGGGCTTAACGTCGGTATTGGGGTTGAAACTAATGTTCCAACTGATCTTCTGATTTTGATTTTCAAGATCTTTTCAATAAAGAAGCTGGCAAATTCATTGCAGGCCCTGGTGGAGCTTAGTTCAGGGGCTATTGCCACTGGAGGAGTAGTTAATCTTTCCACTGTAGCAAATAATGTCCTAGCATTATTGTTGTTTCTATGAATACTCTTAGAGAAAAATGACTCCCTTGCATCCTTCAGGGCTAGTTGATACTTATTCAGCCTCTCTTTATATATCTCGCAGTGAACCTGGAGTCGAGTTTTCCGCCCCTGACCCTTCAAGGCAGTATATGGCTGCATGTGATCTTACTGTATTTTAATGTATGGAACAGAACATTTATACACATAAGCCAGATGGAGGAGCTGCTGAAAGAAACTAGGGGGACAGTTTTTCACATCATACAACCTCGGATAGTAGCTTCTCAAAACAAAGCTGACAATGGTTGGAACGCATATTAATGCTAATGAGGACATTGTCTCAATTCCTTTTCTCCAAGATAAAAATCCACTATACTGAAAGCTTAAAATAAAATATAACCTTATGACAAATCACGAACCACACATCTGTTGCTAATTGTGTTCCAGTAAAGACTGATTGCAATCATTAAACATGCTTTTTTCTGTTTAAAAATGAGATACAGACATAATACGTTAATGGTTTATGAAGGGAAATTTTATTTCAGACTTGTTACTAAAACCCCAAATATGTTCAGAAGAATACCAGAAGGTCCCAAAAATGAAGACCATACACGGGTTAATCTGGAGAATTTCTGCATTTTAGGAAATTTAAAAGGGGTGAGCATGTTCAATAGTTATTTCTGTTAGATATTTTATGATTGATGAGACCCATGTGGGCCACTCAAGTCTTCCCATGATCACCATCACATTTCTATAAAAGTAATCACAGTATACTGATTAACTATATATTACTACTATCACGGCTAAAGTACTGATATTTCACTACCCTTATCATGTAACCAGCAGGCCACCTCCAGTCAACTAACTGCACCCCAGTTAGCCCTGATGCTGTGCTGTAGTGATGTGTTTGAAGTGCACAGGATACAGCACTTTATGTGTGTGGTTGGGCTGATGCAGCTTGAGCAAGTATATAAGTGCTCTATCAATTCCAGTCTATTAGGGTACAAATCTCGGTGGGACCTTGTCCTTTTTGTTCTTTAATGTGTGCTTTTCTCTTGTTTTGCATACATTTCTCCTGGTTGCTGCTTATTCCTACTGTCTACTATTTATGTTTTATCCTGGCAAAGTTACTGTGGAGCACCCAATTTCATACAATGCCAATAAAGGGCTATTCAATTCAATTCAATTAAGCAGGTGACATCAAAAGTCTGCTAAATTCAAAGAAGTGAATCTTTTCACTTCTTTTTTTATTCAAAATAGCATCTCTGTGTCAGAGTAAAGCTGGTTTTATGGTCCTGCAAATGTGTCCGACTGCATACATTTTTCAGTTGGACAGAGCAGGAAGAGGGGTTTTTAGAAGCTCCTGGGCAGTCTCCAAGATCCTGGCTGTGCACAGCTGGAAGCAGATGATGTAAGCAACTCCCAAAACTTATTTGGTTGACAAGTGGGCAGGTATAGAGCAGGGATAGCAGGTTTAACCGATAATAAGAGAACCATGAAAAACAAACAAACAAAAAACTTCATAGAATTTAAAAAAAGAAAAAAAAATCTAACTAAACATGAAAAGCACAGACAGTGGCCGTTTTCCATGGTTTTTAAACACTCATCAGCTCTTTCTATGTTGTGAGTCACAAACCAACAACACATACTTAATATACTGCCTCCATCTGACAACAGAGCCCTTGATTGGACCCGACAGGCCTAGTGGTCAGATCAGATTTTTTTGGCTGTTGGCATTAATCTTTAAATGTGGCCATTAGTCTGGCCATTATCAGATTCTAGTATAAACCAGTATTGGCCCTGTCATCACCTACAAAAGAACAAAGGTATCACACGAGATTCCCAAAAGAGTCCCAAAGATAGCTCCAATAACAAGGTGTCCAGAGCTCTTATAGTGTGGGGGACATTTTTTTTCCCCAATCCACTTGTCCCTTTAAACATCCTCTTTATCAAAAAAGTTCTTGCAAGTTATCAGCTTTGTCTAGGTATTTTCATCATGTCAGACATGTTCATTTGACATGTGCATTAGTTTGTCACCTCTTTCTGTAGGTTGGAATTGGTCGAGGAGCAGCTCACCTCACTCTCTCTCTCGTCATCGTCATGTATTACAGTGCAGCGATGAGTCTTTAAGGACTGTGACCGAGTGAACAGTCTCTTGCAATGTGAACACCAATATGGTTTCTCTCCAGTGTGAACACGTAAGTGGCGGTTGTAACTGTATGAGCTATTGAAACATTTCCCACACTGGTCACAGCTGAATGGCTGCTCTCCAGTGTGGATGCGGAGGTGGCGAATATAATTGCTTAGACGACCAAAACTCTTTCCACATTCTTTACAATTATAGGGTTTCTCTCCCGTATGAGTGTGAATATGTTGCTTGTATGTTTTTGAAATAGAGAAGCTTTTCTTGCATAATTCACACTGGAATGGTTTTTCTCCCGTGTGTATGCGTAAATGTGATTTATAATTACCCAGCTGAGAAAAACTCCTGCCACACTGGTCACAGCAGTATGGCTTCTCACCTGTGTGGACACGCTGGTGTATCTTGTAACTACTTAAGTCACTGAAGCTCTTTTCACATTGGCCACACTCATATGGTTTCTCTCCGGTATGGTTCCGCAGATGAAGACTGAAATGGCCTGACTGAGTGAAACTTTTTCCACAAAAATCACACTGGTAAGGTTTCTCTCCACTGTGGCTCAGCTGGTGCCGCTTGTATGAGCTTAAAAAGCTAAAACTCTTGGGACACTTGTCACAGCAGTATGGCTTTTCTTTAGTATGGACACGCATGTGTATTTTGTAAATACTTAAGTAACTGAAACTCTTTTCACACTGCTCACACTGATACGGTCCAGTGTGATCGCGAAGGTGTTTTCTGTAGGAACTCTGGTCACTGAAATCTCTCCCACACTTGTTGCAGCAGTATGAGGTGTCTTCAGGGTGAGTATACAGGTGTATCTTGTAAGCATTTAACTGGCTGAAACTGCTGCCACACTGTTCACAGTGGTATAGTTCCTCCGATGTATGACTCAGTTCATGTCTTCTTAGACTACAGATCCGAGTGAAACATTTCCCACAGGTCAGACACTGGTGAGGTCTGCTTCTGTCTGGATCTGACGGTTTCAGCTAAGTGGGGAAAAAAAAGACAAATTAAGGTCAGCTGAGAACTTGCTCAAATAGTCCCTGTATATCATGGAGTGTTAACATATAAAAGATGCAGTTTTTTGAGGTTTGTTAGATACAGCTCAGATTGTAATTTTAGGGAAAGTTACATAGGTTTTTGTGCTTAAATACGCTACTGCTTATTCTGAGATACAGTATGAGATTTGCTATTGCAGTGCTTAAACAATTATTAAAATGGAAGAAACACAAAACCTCTGTCCTGTCCATTGTGCATGCCACCTCTAACCCAAAGTCAGGTAGAACAGACCAGATGTGGGTGAGGGGTAAGAGGGGAGAGCAAAGAGCCAGGACACAATCAATCAATCCATACATCCATCCACTCACAGACAGAAATTAGCCACACCTCTGGCCAGTTTAGACTCACTAGTTAACCTAACAACATACATGAATGTGAGAAGAACCTGAAGTACCCAGAGAGAACCTACATTGAGGAGCCCATAGCAATTATTAAGAGTTAATAAATAACTTAAAAACACATTTGAGAATTGTTAACAGCACTTAATAATTTATAAAACAATATAGAACTTTAAGTAATTTATATTTCATCGTTAACTACAAGCTTGGCCTGGAATCATGAGGTTGATATTCACAGGTGGGCAGACTTGAGCAGATAAGGTAAAGCATGTACTGGAGCCTGCAACAGAACCTGTGCTCGTAGGAAGTGGAGATAGGAGTGATTGAAATAATGCTGACTAATGGATCAATCAGAAAAGTAATTAGCTGATTTGTCAACCCTCTCGTGAGGGTTTTTAAATCGGCTTTCCCACTCACTCCAAAAGGTCCTTGATTCTATGGCTCTGTAAAATCCCACTCTGTTTCCTTCACTCTGCTCCATGATTTACCTCTGACCTCTAAACATTGAAGGCCAAAACTCGGGAACTAGAGCATAATGCAGAAATCTGTGAACTCCAGTATAAAGATTCCATTAACCAGGCCAAACAAACCTTTTATGCAAGCATTATCAGTTCAATTCAATTCAATTTTATTTATATAGCACCAAATCACAACAACAGTCGCCTCAAGGTGCTTTATATTGTACAGTAGATTCTACAATAATAAATACAGAGAAAAACCCAACAATCATATGACCCCCTATGAGCAAGCACTTTGGCGACAGTGGGAAGGAAAAACTCCCTTTTAACAGGAAGAAA